CCAGTCATACGTATAGCAGCGAAACGATGGCTCAAATGGATTGCAATACTTCCACACCAGTCAACCAAACCGTCGATTTAGCCAACGGTTCTGCGATGGCATACGGAGCCGATGCCGGCCCTCGACAGTCATTCGCCGTCAGTAAAGTCCCCAAAATGGCAAACAATGTCTTATCAAACCCTCCGTTAAGTCCAATTCAGTCGCTCCGGAAGGCAAAAATTTCAGTGCGAAACCAACCCATTAATCCACCGAAACAGTCATATCCACCGCTTATTACAAACAAAGTCATACAAAGACATGTCTACAGAAACACACCGCCGGTTAAGACAGCTCCACATTCAATGTCTAGAGTTGGTGGTGTTGAGCGCACACGGCTTGGTGTGGGTCTCAATGACTTCCAATTGGGACCAATGCCGCCGATGACTGTCACCCGCAATAGAGGTTACACTACTAGTCTGTCGTCTCTCTCATCGCACAGCAATAATCAGAGAATGACCGTCCAATCGAGTCCATCCACTGTCCACTCTTCGGTCCGCAATCACAAACCATATAACTCTCGTCAATATTAAAAACAACCTATTATTTCATTCAATTATTCTTTCAATATTTGTAATTCACATTATTTATCATTTAATGCTATTATTTTTATTATTAATTAAATGTTCTAAATATTACTTTTTCTAATTAAATATCTAATAATATGGCCACTTTTTGTAGTTCCTAAATAATTATTTATAAATCAATTACCATTTCTTTAATTATTCATTTTTTGTATCAATTTGTTTGTAAATTTATAACATTTAAGTTTTATTTAAAATAATAATTGATTTATTTGTAATATTGGTATAATTGTAACAAAACTAAAATAAAATAATTATTGAAAACGAATTTTCATAAAAGTTAAATAAGTTGAAGAAGTGATATACAAAGTGATAGATCGCACCACAGCTTACATAACAATCATATCTTACAATCGGTTAACATTGAAATGAATTATTGAACCCAAACCTCATTGTGATGTGAATGTAAGGCGCCTTCAAATGGGTTGGCGTTTGGTTTTAGTGTTAATTTTTAACCACAATTCAGATATGAATGTGTTTTATAGGATCGTTCGCCCCCTCCTCGCCCCGGCCCCCACCCTATGGGATTTAACATAGGAAACCAGCTTAAGTCTATGGCTATACCTTAACATGGGAAAGCTCCCATAGAATAATGGGAGACACTTTTGCTATGGGAAAATTCTTTTACATGGGTTTCTATACAATTACAGCTTAAATCTATGACATATGTTTAACGTGGATAACGCTAATTCTACGGGCAATATTATCACTATGGGACTAATACTAATTCTATGGGAAAGCAAAATCTCAAAGGAAAGGGTGGTTTTTCTCAATGCTAATTCTATGGGACTAATGTTAAGTCTATGGATAATGTGGATCGTATGGAACTAGTGCTAATCATATCGACAATGCTAATCCTACTGTCAATTCTAATCCTATGGGCAATTCTAAGTCTATAGCAAGTCTATAGGACTCATATTAATGTTAATCTATTCTTTGAGCAATACCCGAATTGAGGTTAATGTATAGCATCGCTGTGTGAACCTTGTTTTACAATTATACTTTTTTATGTTTAAAATAACACTGTTTTCTGTGATTAAATATATTATTAATTAATTTAAATTACAAATTATTTTCTACAAGATATTTCCTCTTGCATAAAATTAGATTTAATATTTGTAATTAAAGGACTAAGTTCAAATACAATGCATAAATGGCCAAAAATTGTAAATTAGAAATTTAAATATTTTATTCATTTGTAAAAATGTTTATAATTTCAATTATAATTAATTTTTATATAAATGAAGTAAAGCAGGAACGTTCTAAGCTATAAATAACGTACAAAATTGATAGTAACTTTTTAATTTTGGCATAACTTTTGTCTCTTACGTCGTAACTGGGAAATTCCTTCAGAATATTATTCCCTCGTCCATACCTTTCTATTGATATATAATATGATATATTTATTTATGAAATAAAAGATTTGATATTCAAATTTTTCCTGATAAAAGTGGTCACTGCGGCCAAACCCGAGGTCGTCTGGCCAAATAAAATATACCACGATACTTCTTACAGAGTGTACTTTCGATTTATAACAATAATTCCCGAGTGCACTATTGGCCTAATTTGAACATTATTATTTAGGATAACATAAAATTTATTTAAAATAAATGCTTATTTCGTATATAATATATAAAATTAATTTGATGTAATTTTGTTGCTAATTCATTTTATAACTGATAAAATATCGTATTTATTCAAATAA